CTTCAATGGAGTTAATTTTTTGAGTCAATGGACCGGAGCTCCATTGATGACAATGGACAAATTTGCCAACCCTGCCCAGGGGCATGCACATGAACCCCATGCCCTCCATCCTAGTTGTAGGACTCCAGTATTAAAAATAATCAAAATCATTTTTGGTTTTAGAGAAGTTAGTATAATAGTGACTTCTTAAAGATAGATAGAATTAGGTTATTACCATGCTAACTTCTCTAAAACCAGATTATTTTTAATACTGGAGTTCTACAACCCTAATAAAAATTTCTATATACTTCTTTTTGTTTATTCTTCGTAGTTTAAAAGTACTATAGAATTTTGCTTCGAACTTTTTTTTTTAGTACAGTCTTCCTCCTCTATAATCACGCAGTTTGTATCAAGAAAATTAGTGGTTATAAAAGAGTGTGATTATATAGAAGTATTTTTTTATAAGTTTATTAATAGATCGTCTCAAAATTTAATGTGATTGCATAGAAGTTGTGATTATATAGGAGGTGATTATAGAGGAGGAAGACTGTATATATAAAACATGACGAATTGCTAACTCCTCTTCTCTAAAAATCATTTTTGGTACTTTTCTTAAGATTACCTTAGAGTTAGATTAGGTTCATTCATTATACGTAAGCATTCTAAAATTTTTTATTAGATAGTTCAGATCTTCGTTTTGCTTCGTCAGAGTTTATTAAATTTCATAATCAATGCACATGATTCTGCGCCACTTCACGCCGCGTATCTAAATTTGTATTTTAATGCAACAAAAACATGCATACCAACGCGTTTGTGTAACCGTTCCTGCATTATTTTTTTTATAATTGGATTGGCTAATTTACATGTAACCATAAACGAAATTCTGTTGAATTCTAGAATTTTTTGCAGGTCTTACCTTATAAATCTATATATATTCGGGGTCATGTCATTCAAAACCCGAATTCTAACGTTAACATGCCAAAACCAGTAAGGCAAGAAGATTTAGATTTCGTTTCCTGTGAGAACGATCGCTATGAAAGTGAAATATTTAAATGGAAAAATGATCGGTTAGTTGTAAGTAATTTATTTACAGCTTAACTAATTATTTAACTGCTAATAAATAATCTTGATTATAGGAGGCTATAGCGCAAGAAGAACTTGAATTTGTAAAAGAGACTTACGAAGCTAAAGCACGTGCACACAGAATATATGAAGAAGCAGAGCAGATGCGCTTAAAGGCTATTAAAGAATGGCAAAAATATTGGGTTCAAATGGAGGCTAAATAGTAAGTACTTCATATTTAATTCATAAAATCTGGTAATAAATTTTACAATTTGCTTAGGAAAAAAAATATATATATATTAATGTTTAGTGAAAAAGAAAGACTTGAAAGAAGACGACGATTTGAATCAGAGCAAGCTAAGTGGAAGCAAATGGCTGAAGTGAGTGATGCAACAACATACGACAACGTAATATATATATTTTTTACATTAGAATCTAATTTATATCGTTCATAATAGGAATACGATTGTAAGATTAAAGCACAAAGACAAGCCGAAGAAGATCGAAAAAAAAAGGAGGAAGAAGCAAAAGAACAGGAAAGGGTCAGGATAGAAAATCAAAAACTGGCACTGTTTAAGGCAGTTGAGGCTGAAGAAAAAAGAAAGAGGGAGGAGGCTTTAAAAGCGGCGGAAAATGCCAAAAAAATTCAAGATAATGTTAAAACTGTGACCGAAGATAATACTAAAAATCTTGTATCGGACGAAATTTTGAAACAAGAAGAGCATTTTCGAAATATACTTAAAAGCATACAAGATAAATTTTCAAAAAATCCTCAGCTGAAATCTGCAACTGCCGAAACGAGAAAGAGCATCACACTGGGATTAAACATTCTTACGAACGGGCGTGCGGAAATTCTTAAAATTGTAAGAATATCATTTATAATATTTGATACATTCACTTGAATTGCTAATAATTTTATTCATTTTAGGCTTCTCAATTTGACGTAATGCTGAAAAATCATCAAAACAATTCGGACATTTACTATTTTCTTATGAATTATATTGCAAAAGGAGTAGTGGTTAGTACTATCAAGGTGTCTATTTAATAAATATTAAAACATATAACATTTCTGACCTTTTATCTTTATAGAAACACGCTGAAGTTGATGTAGTATCTAAGGAACCTGCAGCGTTCCCCTTTGCTCACTTGTGTGTGTTGATTTCCAATTATCAATACTAATAACTTCATTTTCTTCATTAACTTCTTCTGCTTCATCATCCGAATCATTATCTACTATAAACACATCATCGCTTTCATTTTCTTTGAGTATTGGTAAGGCAACATTATTTTGCTTGTACTGCTTTATTGATAATTCAATTTCTTTCAAACGGTTATGTCGGTTCATAGTAGCACGAAGTTGACTCATATGAAGCACTTTTTGAGGCTAAAATTTTTAAAAATTAATGGATCTAAATATTAACAATTAAAAATTTAAATAAATTTAATCAAACCTTTAAGCGAGATCGTGACTTATTATGCAACCAACCCATGCATGAGAAAAGCCTTTCAACGGAGGCAGAGTTAACACAAATTCCGAAGATATGGCATGCTACTTTACCTAATTCTTTTGCTGAAGTAGTACAATATTCCCAGTAACCCATAATATTATTATTAAACTGGTTGGTAACACGTTCAGTAAATGGCTTTTCTCCTTTTCGATATTTTTCAAGTTCAGGTAAAAGAGTATGAGGTTCATTATCAAACCAGGCACAATAATAGTATATTAGCCAATCACTAAGTTGAAAATAAAGCTGTTCATTTATAGAGCTAAATACTGATATGCCGTATTTAGGATGGAGTAAAAATGAAAGGAGTAATAATGGCTGTTCCCAGGAATTCCATCTGTGCTCTAAACGCTTAATCATATTAGTAGCAAAATTTTGGTTTGAATAACCTTTATATAATTTTATAAGATAGGAAACACAATGAACAACTTCATATAATCGTGCTTTATCACATTGTAGCTTGTTAAGACATGCACAATATGGAAGAAGAAGCTGAGAAAGTTCTTGAAGTTGTGACCACCATAGCTCGTTATTAATAATTTTGCATATATTGTCAGGCAAGTAAAGAGCTGAAGATTTATTACTTGATATCGTTTCTGAGAATTCAAATTTTGCAACAAGCGTC